AGTGGCCTCTCCACCTGTCACTTGGAACTCAACAGTATTAAGTCTTGTAGCCGTTAGAAATCCTGCTTTGTTGTGCCTCTCACGAAGAGTTTTTTCCACACTTGGCGTTAATAATGTTTTAGTTTTAGAAGCTTCGACCCGCCTGTTATTAAACCACTCTAACATCTTCGCTTGTATAAAATTAAAGAGGGCAATGACAGGGTAATCTTGAACATCTTTGAGCATTGTATTAACTGACTCAGACATGTTTGTGGTCATAATATTATATCAATTTCCTTTAAAACAAGCACGAGACCAAAATGAACTTGCTCCTATAGGTATCTAGCAATACTGGGATATCTTGCAGACAACTCATCAAACAAGACAAAAAACTCGTCAATGCAGTAGGCCTCAGCGGTTTTAAAGAACAATGGCAGAACACCGCTACATCTGAAATTACTCTTGATGTTTTGAGACACATGCCATGTGCAACAACCGTAATGTGTTAATGTATAAACTGTAGACAATGCATTACTTATACTTTGATTCCTATCAGAAATAAAAACTAATTCCTCAGAATTAGTGATAATTTCCTTCAAGTTTGAGAAGAACCATGTCCAGGATGCATCATTCTCTGAGTCTACAATAGCCCATGCGATGGGATAACAATGACGTTCACTATCCTGTCCAGTGGCAACTAATAACGTACCTCTGAATTTTTCCTTCAACCACGTTCCATCAACACTGATAACTTTCCTCATGCAACCAAAACCTCGTATACAAGGTCCATATGCTAGGAAAAGATAGATAAAACGGTTATGTTCATAAAAATGAATATTGGTGATGCCGTCGTGATTAGTAAGAGACACCATATCAAAGTATGATGGGAGCTTAGTGAAGCTTTCTTCGGCCGTACCTCTTACGAGTTAAAGTGCATGCTCACGAGCCTTCCATCCTTTGTAATAACTAAAGTCCGTCCCGAATTCGTCACGGGTATATTTCTGAATTGATTTGGGAACCGGACCCTGTTTGACGCCTATAAATTGGTTTTTCATGCAACTTACAATAACGGAGTACGTTGCTTGCCTGTGCTTTGCTGAACACTTTTCTAACGAGCAAGAGTGAACACCATTATACTTACGGATTACAAACATGTTCGATAGTCTCAGTTTGTAGGCTCGGATACGCCACACACATTTCAGATCCACACACTCTACTACAAGCACGTCTTTATTTGATTTTGTTGTTCGAAACTCAAACTTCCCCTTCAAAGCTATTAAATGCAGCTTTTCCTTCAAATCATTCTTACTTGTAAAGTACTGACCAACTTATAAACTAGATCCGTCACTAAAGGTAGATCTATGAGATGATCCAAACTCAGTCTTGTCGATACAAACTAAAGGACCAGCAACTTCTACTTCATCTAAAATGGTAAGTGGTTGTGGCTCTAGCTGTGACTGTGACTCTGGTTGTGGTTGTGGTTGTGATTGTGATGGAATATCATTACAAGTCAAAAACTCATCTGTAGCTACATTACCCATAAAATCACGATAAAAAAAATCATCATTCAAACGATTTCTCCTAATTTTGACTCCATCAATATGTTCTTCTGGATTCATAAACTTCCCATCCACTATCACGTGTAGCGGTACCTCGTGGGCTATATCCCTGAAGAATAACAAATCATCATTGTCTTTTATTACAACGGACAACGATTTCTGTTTCAAATTCGGTACCCACGATAGCTGCAAAGAATGTTTTTGTCCATCAATTCTACATTTTCTACAAATCTTATCAACGAAGGTTTCGAGAGTATCCTTCTCATCCATATATATGCCAATTAAATTACAATCTGTATGCCACACCTAACAACTTTCAGTCTCATCCCATTTTCCTCCA